GATTGGCAGACGACGCGGTTTTTACGACGGGCAATTTGAAACGGTACAGTCGCCGTCGCCGGCAATTGAGCGTCTAACGCTGTTTTCAAGTCCAGCGCAGCGCTATTGATAAAAGCGTGGGAGACGCTTTATCAATGGGCGATAGTGGCGGCGGCCAATTAATCTCAATTTAACGCGGCTAACCCAGAGACCGGTGGACGATCGTCACGATGATGTTTATGAGGCGTCTTGATGAAGGAAACCGACCACTTTAGCCGAATTTGACTCAATGGTTTTAGCTAGAAAAATATTCTGTCTTGGATTTCCTTTGAACGGTCAACGATTTATAAAGGTATATAATATTTTTGTTGTTTTCAAGATAACGATTAAATTTAAAGTAGTTTTTTTTTTTGCGGTTTTATGGTCAATGTGGTACAGGTAGCTAATGGGTTCTAGCAGGTAACGAATACCATATAAGTAGGGGTTCGTCTTTGATTTGTTATTTCCATATGATTAAATATATTACAGTGAACCGTTATGCAAGTGCGAAACAATTTTATCTCCATCGTGTTTCGATGTGATACTTATTTGACGCGAGTGCTTTGTTTTTCTTACATTTATCGGATGTCAATAGGAATTGTACAGTATACACTTCGCGAACACTCTTTTTGTCGATTTGGATTTCTTTTTTCAATTGCTGCTCAAATCGACCCGTACCGCTTCACAATTGTGGAATTTATTACAATCGCATAAGAACGAATTCAGCGGGTGTCCGCCGCCGTGACACTTTTCCGGGCCCATACCCTTCAGCCGTCTATGTGCGTAGCGATAAAACATTATATTGTCTGCTCAACGTTGTCCCCCGCTGTGTACATCGCCCTTAAAGCAAACACCCTTTGTGTAACGTGAATATTATTATCTATAAAAATCTTATGTACGCCCGTTGTTATGTCGGTAATAAGGGACGATATCTTGTGCCCGAGCCGTGGGTTTAACAACTTCCAGTGTATGTACGTTTGTTTCATTGCATATATTATTTGCGTATCGCTCAATTCAATTGCGCTTAAGTTGATACAAGTGATCGTATAGAATTAATCAATGTCGTATGAACTTTGATGAATGATTAGGTAAATTTTTGACAAACTGAAAATGATTTAATTGTTTCGAATCTACTTTAAGAACTTCGTTTTGTTTTATCAATAGTGTTGTCTTACGGCTGGTTTGAATATTGTATATATTATATGCAGATTTGGTCACTGAAGATAGAGTTTTGACGTAAGTATTATGGAACTAATGTAAACTATCTATCGCTAGTAACGAAATCTACGTATAGATAGAATATTCAAACCGGCCGTCAGTATCTGCATAAACAGTATGAAGTACATTTATGTTACTTAAATAGTAGATTAGACGTAGTCGCGTAGCTGGGTGGCGGGATTGAACAAACTGTGTAATCAAGGTTTTCTGTTTTATCACCGTTTCACTTTAACGTAGGCGCGGGTAAGGATTAGGCGAACGTGTTTTGTGCACATATTTATTGTTAATTAAGTTTCCGAAAGCGCCCAATCGCTCTATGGTCGCATTATTGTCAATGTTCTGAGACAACTGTGATAGGGCCACGCTGTTGCACGATTGGTCAGTTACGTCGCATATGGTTTAATTTATTTCAAATTCCCAAAGCGCTGACGATACTTATAAGAGGGCACTTGGGCGCAGTTGCCAAGGTATTGGCCTCGGCGTCGGGGGTTCGTGGGTTCGATTCCCACACGGGACAACTATTTGTGTGACCCACAGATAGTTGTTTCGCATCAGGGTGTTTATCCGCGTGAAATTTATGTTTGTAAAAAACAGTCCTTACAACACAGGATAATGTTATCCTGAAGTAAGGGCAATGTTTAAAAAAAATAAAATAAATAAACTGTGTTTGCTTAATAGTCTTTACTATGTAACTTTATATTTATAAAAGAATACCGACATTACATTTTAAGTTTCAGAATTTACTTAATTGTTCATACATAAATTTGAACTTTGACTTCTGATTTGTTACTGTGAGACTTAAAAACATTTTTCCCACGCATATAGATTGTTTTCTGGCATCGATTTTAACTTTAGCTCTAAATTTGTTTAAGTTACTCAGGTGTACGTAACGTCCTCGCTGTTAGGCCCGATACAACAGAATAGTTGGTTATAAAATAAATAAATTGCTAAAGTTGGAACATAAAGCTGAACGCTCACTTGATGAATCGCCGGTCTTTATGATTTTACAAATACTACGTAAGGAATTTCGAACAACAACAAGGGGAATTGTCTAATAAAACATAACTTCTTGTCTAACGAACTTTCACTTGGCGGTTCCGTTTACTTTTTATTACACATTCATTGTTTACATAGGAAAGAGCCTTGGCGAATTTGGGGTGCGCGTGGAAGGGACTTGCGCGCCATTCCAAACGCAGGCATTACGTTGAAACCATAAATTTAGCGTGCAATTAAAGCTGCGAGAAAATTTTCAATTAGTTGAAATGGTTTTTGTTAAGTTATTATTTATTTTTGTTATGTTGAATGGATTTGCATTCGACTTTTGCAGGAAGAGACTCGACTTTCACAAAACCGTTTCGATTGGACCCTAGAGTTTAATTTCAGTTTAAACTTTACTAAGTTTAAAGTGCACGTATGCACTGCACTGCTGTTTGTTTTTATCCTTATCGACTATTTAAAATTCTATATTTTCTTTTCCACTATTCACCTTTTGTCCTTCTAATCCATTTAATATGGTTGATTGTTTAAGTAATAGGCTTACGGAATTGCTCCTGACAGAATTCCTAGAATTTAATCAAGGTTCGCGATCATCCGCAGCGCTGTGTTTCAATTGCGGCGTTTGCGTTGCGAGAGCGGTGCGGTCTCTCATATTAGCCCATCGTGCCTCATCGCGTTGATTGTTTGCTCTTAGTTTTCATAACTAGGCGTTTAGTGTTGCGCAATTGAAAGTGTTGCGGCAACATTTATTAAAAATTGCGTGCTGCGCATTCCGGGTCTTTGTGTTTACCAATGATTACCATCACCTTGTGGTTAAGCTCGAAAAAATTTAAACTCTACTATCTGTTATAAATACTAGCTGTTATAATTGTACACTTTACACTATAGTATTTTGCCACTAATTTATTATTTATGAATTAACATTAATTATTTTTATGATTATAGCGACCGAAGCCCGCAGAAACTCGACATTTCCTCCTAATGTTGTGTTTGCAATCGGCTTTTTCCTTTCGTAAACTTGGCGGAAACAACACGTTCCTTATTATTTATTGCCTGCTGTGGACGTGCCCTGTTAGCTAATGTTGGTCAATTTTTTTATCTTTATTTATGTTCGAAGTTCTGACCAGTTGTTCGGCTGTTATCTCATGCATTGGCTCGACTATGATCGCTTCCTACTGGGGTAGCACTATTATTCTACTATACCGCGTGTAGTACGAATGAACGCCTTGCTCCTACGCTTATGTAGTTCAAGCGGGTTCTTTATTGGCGGCATAAATAAGCGGTTTATCGTTTGCGAAATGCCTTTGGGTCGCCCTTGGTCCTTTTGACCGGATGAATACGATACCGTGAGCCCTATAACAAGAGGTGGAATAATTTATCATATGTATTGTTTTTTTATATACTTTCGATTTATGTAACCTTGGTATTGAGTTGCTTAGTTTCATTTTATTTACACTCAGTTTTACCGTTTTATGTCGTGGCGTAGTGAATGTTTAATATCGTTCGTATCAGTTTAGACATACGTTAACCGTAAACGTTTTTATATCATAGATAAACTATCAATATGAATAACTAAATAATTGTCATGTTGAAGTACTACAATAAGTGTTACTATTAATTAAAAATATTGTATTTTAGATTGTATAAAAAATTTTGTTGTTTTAGATTTGTCGCGTATATTGAGAGACATGTGTAGTGTTGAAAAAAAGACACAGCTCTTATTGTCCCCAATATATTGTCATAAAACTAAAAGTAACTCCGTCTTCGGCAATTTCGGACAATTGTAATCGAGGTCCGAAATTGCTCGCGCGGAAGTCCTTATCTCGTAACGTCTTACGTGAGAATCGTTCGTTACGCTCAACTGTTCCCCCGTTGCTTCGCGGTTCTGGGCCGTTTTAAGCTGGACCAGTGTTCAGGAGTAGTGATGTGCCGTTATCGTTCAAGTGAACATCTGGTGCATTCGCGTATCGATCGACGGTCGCCATCCGCGCCGCTTTATCCGCACACGAATCAACAGTGCATCCGGCTTATCGCGTTCGCAACGTGGCGTACGTTTCGAGTGCACGCCTCCAAGGTCGCCGGCCCTGACCTATATTTTTACGGGTGCATCGTGTGAAAGCGCTCGTCTTAATAAGCTGTAATTTGACGTAAAAATCGTTAAGTTACGTCGGATGCACTGTTCGAAATCGGACTAAAATATGACGAGACTTGACTATCGAGGGTATCGTGGGTAATTGTCTTCGTTAAAAATGCTCGTTCCATTGTCGCTCACAAACGGGAATTTTTCCTAAATTAAGTGACATGATAAAATTGGGTCCAAATCGGGCGGTTACATAAGTGGGGGCGGGGGCTAGCTCGCCGAAAGCTTACGTAAGGAAGTCTGGAAGTTTTACTGTGAAGCATAAAAGGCCGGCTTAATTCGTGCCTAATGCCGGTCGAGGGTGTCGTTTCGCGGGACGATACGTTGTTAATGTCGGAATACTTTGCGGTCCGAGTTATTCATTCACATATCCACCGTTACTTGTTCGATCGTACAAGGGAATATACGTATTTTTTCAAATAATCTAATCGGGTCTCGCTATCCGAGTTTAGTCATTATCGGGTGTTTGTTGCCGTCGTGCGGCAATGCTGTAAAGCGCGTGTCGTTGCGTTGAACGAAATGTATTATCCGAACGTTCGAACTGCGGCGGCGGAGACGTCGCGAGCGTATTCGACGACAAGCGGTCTGCGGAAACCCCCTCCGTCCACTGTCAATATTTACTATTTACCTCTGCGACGGTGCCATTAGCGTTAACGCCGCGTCAGTAATCCGTTTCCCGCCAAAACAATGCCAAACAACCGCCCACAGTGCATCGCACCACACGCGTCTCGATAACAAAACTACCACAGCGCGCCGTCGTGTGCACACGCGAACTTCTCCAGTGTATCGCGGGCTCTGGCCGCGTTGCTGTGCTATTGCGTCAGCGGGACACGTCCGTCGTCGGTGGCGGCCGGCACGCAACTGCCGCTGCGGGAGCGACGGCGTCGGAACTCGTTCGGAGGCCTCCGTTGGAGTGGGCCCACGGGGGTCGGACTCCGCCAACGCCAACTATTAAATATTTAACGGGCACCCGTTCACGTTAACGTTCCATTCTCGGCCATCGCAAATAATAGAACACCCCCGGTCAGCGTTACACGTTGAATTTCGATTGTACACTTCAATTTAATGTCCTTTTAACAGCTTACTCCGTTTCGCTCGCTTGGCTTACTTTCGAAGAAATATCCCCGACATGTAAAGTATCTTTTCAGAATTACATTCAAACTCGTTTAGCCACTTCGGCGTAGCCAGGAGGGAAATACACAACACTTACGCGTCTGTAACATTGAGTGCAGTTTAGTAATAGTGTACTCGAGTGCTATTTATCAATTCTCCCTGAGTTTGGGTTTTGTTAAGATGACGTTTCAAGTTTAAAGTGGTATAGTACTTGAAAGGGTAAGGTGCGAAACTGTCCCGCTTGTCGCTTTCCCATCAGGTCTGTTTAAAAATCATATGGAATTATAGTGAGCTTGTTAGAAGAGTCGCGTAACATCATTAGCATCTTTAGTTTTCGCTCACCTGGTGCGGATAGAAGCTTGAAGAGAATCGGGGTGCAGTACCGTTTATGTTCACAAGCGTGCTAATTTACCAACCTTGCGTCCCTATGTACGTGGAAAAAAGCATTTAGGAAGTGAACGGCTGTTTGGTTGATGTACCGTAGGAACTCCACTATCTCATCCGCCTGTATCATCATCCTCCTTATCCCCTAGGTGAGGTCGGCACATGTGAATCATTTTGTAAGTGGTATAGGCTAGATTTTTTACGACCGGCCGCCTGTTTGACATCTGCCCTCGTTGGGAACAAACACCCAGGTCCGGAACATTTGTCTGTTAGACACACAGGCGCCGAAGCCAGCAACAGCTCCCGAGCCACTGAGTCTATTGACTCATTCTCTCTCTACACCCATTATATGACTTGGTATTCATCGATGTATGTATGCTGCAGAGTTGCTTACTATTCTGACACATACGTTTTATATGGTATCACGGTGGTAGGGCCACGCAGCAGCCTCGACTGTTGCACGAATGGGCAGGCCCGTCCGGGTAAGTACCACGACCTCACAGAAGACCAGCGTAAAGAGGAAGTATGACAAATACTTTCGCGTTTCGTCTGGTGAGTGAGGTAGCCGGAGCCCAATTTTCAAAAGGTTGTCAACGCATCTAACCCTCGGGTATAGCAGATGTCCATGGGCTGCGGAATTCACTTACCATCAGGTGAACCGTCTGCTCGTTTGGCAACTTTTCACATTAAAAAAAAAAATGTGCCATAACAAAAAGTTGTGAGTATGTGCAGTTTGAAAGTATGACTTGATTATGATTAGATTAATCTAGTGGTGTTTATAATTTGTGACTGTAGAATCTGTGACCAATTTCGGTGCTTCTATTTATCTTGTACATGATCTCTAGCGATGGTTTAAGGTATCTCTGACTTGATAATGCATTATTTACAAGGGTATTATGTTAAATACTAAGCAATACGTAGCCTACTCGGTCAACGGCACCCGGAATACTGCCGCATAAAGAATTCGAAATAGGCAGAGGTACCCAGTCGCGTTGTAGTCCCGGTAGCTAATAATTTTAATGAAAACGCGGGTATGACAGAGCGGTGTTTTTACACCCCAGGGGTTGCTTATATCGGTGAGCCCCGGCCGACTGTTACAAAGGTGGCATTAATTATGCGATGTCATGTCGGACAAAAATTTGATTAAAGAGCAAACGACACTTTTTACAGTGTCGGAATTTTATATTTCCATTTTTTAAATGGCGATCGAGTAATTTGCAGTTTAAGATCCTATTGTGAGCGAAGGTTGCTGTTACGAGACCTGGCAAATGCCGCAATGCCTTTAGTGGATCTAATATTTTAACGGTCGTAGTGTTTTCATATATTCTCGACACCCTTATAGCGGCGCACTCATAGTACCAGCAATCTCTAAATAGAGAATAATCGTATAGATGTCCGGATACCCGATTGGCGTAGTGGGTAGTGAACCTGGCTCTTGCGCTAGTGTGTGGGTTCGATCCCCACTACTGGAAAATATTTTGTGATGAACTGTGTCCAGTATCTGGGTGTGCATATGTATAATATGTATGTGGGGGGATAAATTAAGGTCGTTTCGCTAGGGAATCTCCTTTATTTCAAGGATTAACAAATTTTACTTTAAGAGCTCAAACGTCGTTCCTACTGTATATCGCCATTCCCCTTTTTTTTCCTATCTCTTTCACACAGCTCTTCCGTTTCCTAACTTCCGTTCGATCCGTTTCATGCATCACTTATTCATTCATCCCACATTCGGCCATCCTGCTATTAGTCTGTCCTCAGACTAATTTAACGTAAAATGATTTCACATTACATAATTATACAAATAAAGATACTCTTCCATACTCCGTTTACAACATTGCATATCTAACACCTTTCCATACACATACAGAATGTAATCTTACACTAATGGCTTACAAATTACATATCTCAAAACTTTTCTAGACACATATACAATTATTTTTTACACTTGTGGTACACAGTTGGTATATCTCAACAATTTTATACACCTATACAATGCAATTTTAACTTATGTTGACTAAACAATCAATTTTAAACTTATACTTATGGCTATTGACAAAAAACAAAAAAACAAACTAAATAAAAACCTCATTAGTTTGTAAATGAAACTTAATGGCCATATGCAGTGTTTTAGGAAACAATACAATTTTAGAAATAAACCTTGAAATACTTCTTAAATATGGAATACACAAAAATATAAAATACAATCTAAACAAAACAAGATCACTAAGTCCAACAACTCACCATGTGTCAATAGGTTTAGGCCAGACTTTCATATGATCAGCAGATGAAGAGGTTTTCCATGGACCTTCTGTAGTACTGTCCATTTTTTCCACATCATATCTATCCTTCCCCTTTACCTTAGTTATCTGTTTTCTTTCTGGCACTCATCATTTCATGTATAGACTTTAAATCCACAGAGTCCGGAAATTCTCTGGTGATAGCTACTTTCAATTCTTCCCATGTTTTAAAAGGTTTCTCAGCCTTTAGCCATAATAATGCCGTACCTGTAAGCGATCTTCGCGCCACAAGTAATTGTTGCACAGCAGACCAGCCAAATATTTCAGCATTATCTTCCACATCTTGTATCCATCTCGTAATGGAGTAAGTTTTGTCCTGCCCGTTAAACGTAGGCACAAGCTCCGCCGTCATTTGTAACAATTGTCCGTGCTCTCGCCGTCCGCCATCTTGTCCATGTTCGTACACGTAATCCTCCTGGCGACTTTTACGTCTTTCTTGCAGATCCTTCGGCATGGTGATAGCAGTTGCTTTCGTTTATCGTCGTCGTCGTCGTCGTCTTCTTATACGTCGTCAAAATATTGCAGACCACTAATTTGATGCCTTAGAATACGCCGCCACGTGCTGCGTATTTGTCGTTCGCCTGAGATACACCGAATATGCTCGTTCTTCAATCCCGGACGAGCCCCCAAAATTGTGGGGGGATAAATTAAGGTCGTTTCGCTAGGGAATCTCCTTTATTTCAAGGATTAACAAATTTTACTTTAAGAGCTCAAACGTCGTTCCTACTGTATATCGCCATTCCCCTTTTTTTTCCTATCTCTTTCACACAGCTCTTCCGTTTCCTAACTTCCGTTCGATCCGTTTCATGCATCACTTATTCATTCATCCCACATGTATTTGTTTATAAAATAAAATGAAGTATGTTTAAGTACGTATATCAGTTACAGTACCCATAGTAAAAGCCTTGCTTAGAATGGGAATAGAGAACGTTGTGTAAAATGTGTCCTAAATATTTATTTATAATTGATTTATTTATATATACTGTTGAGTTTTGGACATATGTTCTTTTGAAGAGAATCCGTAGAATACTATTATTTCGCCAAACACCATGAGTTTTCTCCTAATCCGGAGATAGACCAGTTTTGATGTTCTGGCGAAGCACTAGCTGAATACTACTAACATAAATGTAATTCAAGCTAAATAATTGATTTAACCGACACACGCGCATGCGGAACAAATTCGGTTTCCGTCGTTTTGTGTTTGTTGTTATGTAAATGGTGGATGGGCCGTGTTGTACAAAGGCCACCTGGCCGGAAGGTCGCCTCACAATCGATGCCCGAAGGTCGCAGCGGGTTCCGTTAACGATTTCCCCATTTTTCGTTACATGCTGCTCTCGTAAATAACACTATCTCCCCGTAAACCCATTAGCGACACTTAGGAATAGGTACGTTGAAAATATACAGAACTACTATTCCTACGAGGTTTTGGTTTTACAAGATTCTTGCTTGCTTGAGATTGGCTAGTAAGTCCCAACGACCACTGTGATCAAGCAAGATCTATTGCAGTCTTTAAAACCAATGTTTTCGAAGGGAAGTACCACGACCTCACAAAAGGTGAAGTGGAAGTGCTTCACTTCTCGTCTGTGTTTCGTCTGGTGAGTGACGTAACTGGGTCCTAGTTTTTTAAAATGTGGCAACGCATCTGCAACCCTACGGGTGTTGCAAATATCCATGGGCGGTGGTTATCATTTAACAACGCCATTTGGGAACGCACGCTAGCTTTTTTTTTGGTATCGGGGGTAAATCTACAAAAGATACCCTGTCACCTTACATGACAGGGTTATGTGGGGTTCTTTCCCACTAAAACACCTCGGTGGCCACCCCGTGTACATTTAGAGGGACTCCGGGATCTCCCACGGAACGCACCGGTGTCCCTCAGTACTGCGCGTGAGCAAGCCTCGGAGAAGGATAGACCTTCCCCGATTCCCTTACCATCTTGCAGCAGCTCGAGACCACTTCGTGCTGCTGCCAATCCGTGTCCCCTTTTAGTCGCCTTTTACGACAGTCAGGGAATACCTTTACTCTTAGGGTACGGAACCCTAAAATCATCAGAGTATATAATTTATATCATCAAGAAATTGATTACCTATATAAGTTGCGGGATGGTTTTTATGTGAGAAGGTTTCAAGCGGGCTGGCCGTTCACTGGACGTAAGTGATGTCAGCCCTAAGTATCTCAAAGATAACGTGGAAGAGATCCAAAATATCTTTGTTTCCGAGAACTTTAAGAACATTTGATGTTGCGGTCCCGATCGGCGTAGTGGATAGTGAACCTGTCTCTTGTGCCAAAGGGTGTGGGTTTGATCCTCGCTACAGGAAATAATAAAATGTTGTGATGAACTATTACGTATTAATTTACATTTATTTACAAAAGAAAAGTGTTTAAGTATGTTTATCAGTTACCTCCTCATATATACAAGCTTTGCTTAGTTTGAGATTAGATAACGTTATGTAAACATGTATCCTGAAAATGTTTATTTATTTATTTTCTTATAGCCTTAGAAGATTCCTCGTTCGCTAGGGATTTCAGAGAAGATAATATAAGAAAAGGTCGTACACAAATAAGATATACTGTTCTTAATCCAGGCTTCTTTACTTCATTACTCGTTTCCTCAAACAGCATTCATTTATCATTCTGTCTGTTATCATCGTATCGTCTATAAATTATCTAAAGACATAGCGTATTCTGCCGAGCAGCGGAAGTTCTTTTAGAAATAGTGAATGTACTACGAACGTAGTAGAAGGAAATACGAGTAAAATTAAGTAAACAATAACTGCATGGTAAGTTCAAAATAGTCTTTCCGTAAAACGCCGCCACAACACTGCTTGGTTTTGTT